TGCAAGGGAGGAGAGCAGTCGGTCAGGAGCCCGCCGGCCACAGTCGGGCATATTTGTGGTCACCTTTCTCCTTGCTGCAGTCTGAGCTGCTCTGCAGCCCAGCCTGCCGCCTCTGTTCGCTGCTGCTCTCTCCCTGCACTGATTCTTACTGTTTATCACACACTCGAATACAGAAACTGGTTACAAGAACAACAAGAAAAGACACACTTTCTCCTCACTCCCCCCCCCCCTTCTCCTCTTCCTTTCCCGGACTATTTATACTGATGGGGTGACATATGAAAAGGAATCACCCCCTTCACAGGAGTGGAGTGGAAGGATCTGGCCACATCAGCAGAGTGGCTCACCGCTGCCTGCCACACTCTGGCCAGAATGAATGACTTCCATCCATTGGCTCCCTCTCACTCTGACACACACACAGTGAAACCAGGGGAAAGGGGAACACACACACACACACACACACACACACACACACGCTCACACATATCCTATATATATAAACAATGGAAACATATGCTTTACAAATCCAATCGAGCCCTGTGACCTGATGTTGCCACCACCTCTTTCTTTGCAGCTCAGGACTCCTCTGTCTCTTTCTGTGTCTCTCACCAACACCCATTGCTGTTATACTGGACTGTTATTCTCTCCTTCCTCTTAGCCTAGTTTCTCTGAGCAGAAATAGAACCAGAGGGGCCGGAGATCCACGAGTCTCTGTTGGGGATTTGATATGAAATCTGTCCTCTCCAAGCTGATGGAGCTCTGTGTGTGCATTTCTGTTTCTGTTGTATGGGGTGTGGTGGTCTGTGTGTGTGCGTGTGTGGGTGTGTGTGTGTGTGTACGGTGGTCCCAGAGGAGTAATGCCAGCAGCATGCGTCACTGCATGGAAGCTGGACTTGCAAAAACATCATGCTGTATCCTCATTTAAATGAATCACAATATCATGTTGTTGAAAGGCAAATGAACACTTGCACCTCACCTCCAGTAGCTGAAACAAATAACCTGTGTGGTGTTATTTTTAGTTTTGATGTATTATTGTTTCTTTGTTTTCAATATATGATGCTATGCGTAAAAAAAAAAAAAAAAAGAAAGAAAAATTCTGGAGCCTCATATCCTGGTTCAGACAGTAAATGAACAGTCTACTGGTGGCCTCATAATGGAAACAGCAAAGACTGAAAGAAACTGCTATTCATATCGGAGAATGATCATTCACCATTCATCGCTCTAAATGTAGCATTTGTGGTTTGTTAACGTTCACCAATTTGAGTCATTTCTCTTCTCGAGCAACACTGAAAAAAAAGTGGTCATAAAGGCGGACTTTATGAGAGGGTGGAATAAGTGTCAGCTCCACACCGGCCCCCGACTCTGTGTCAGCTCTGTGTTTTGGCTGCAGTGAGCAACTGCAGCCGCATACGTAGCACTTACAGCTCAGCATCACAATACACTCGTCGTGAGCACCGGACAGTGCTATCACACGTCACAAGATAAATCCTAATAAATGTCCTAAAGGGCGGCGGCTCTGCATTCAAAGTCAGAATATTAGATACATGAGAAAACATTAAGAAACCCTGGAATGATTATTTAACCATTTCTTTGAGCTTACTCATGTTTTTGTTTTGTTTCTGTATAAAGCTTAAGCCAAGGGAGTGTACAGTACATCAGGGAGGGAGTGGCCTACAGGGAAGCTGTCAGTGTACATTGCTGTGTGAGTGCTGTTACCTTAAATGAACATGGAAGTACCTGGTGTTATTGTTGTGTGTGCAGTCAGGAAGATCCACATTCCTGCGATGCCTCTCACTTGGCACCACGCTCAGATACACACGAACCCCTGGAGGCCTGAGACTTGAGAAACTCATTAACGTCCAATTAAATGGATCTGCAGGGGCATATACTGTATGCGCCACGTTGTCACAGTGGCAGTGGTGACCTAAGATGTAGCTATAATGTAAAATATCACTCTTTTCACTGTTGCCATGGCGTCACACAAGGTATTTCTGGCATCGTACAATCACCTGTGTAATTCAGGATCGCCTCAGCAGAAAGAGCAATGTGAGAAAAGCCTGTTGCAGAAATGTTGATGTTCATGTTGAAGCAGGAACACAGGATCCAGTTGCAATGAGGGTGAGAGAGGGGCAGTTTGGAGAGTTGGAAAGCTGAGTTCCTTTGTGGTCTCTTGACCTTTATCTCTTTGAGGGCCCATACAGCATTGCCATGGCAACTAAGCTGGGCACTGCCAGCCTGGGTGGGGCCTGTGCTGCCTCGTTGTTAGATACATCACTGAATCTCTCTGTGTACATTTAATGGACTTCTGGGTCCATAAATCCAAAAATATGAGTTATGAGTTTGACTAAGAAAGAAAAAGGAGTTAGAAAAGAAGAGATGGGAATGGAGGAGGGAGGAAGAGGGGAGAATGATGGGGGAGAGAAGTCAAAAGGTCAAAAGGAATTTCCAGGCATTAAAAGGCCTCATTGAAAGAAGAGATGATAGTTGTGATACACTGCTACACAAACAGGGAGCTGCTGTAATCCCTCACAGATTAACACTATTCATTACACATCTCATTGCACTTCAACCTCTACAATAAACACTGTTGCCTTGATCTGACTTCCACCACTTACTTAAACTGATGCACATTCACAGGTGGCTGCTGGAATTAAGTAGTGTGTAATGTATATTATTATTATTATATTAACTTCTCCTACAATATTTTGATGATTGATATGATCTTGTTGAACTTGGCACAACAGGACCGCAGCTCCAGTTTATCCAACAGCCCCAGCGCCCCATCTTTTCCAAATCTTACAGTAAACAACATTTTACCAACTCCACCATTATTAATCGTCTGCTAATTGTGTGGTAAGTGTAGACGGGTGTGGCTCAGACAAACGCAGACTCTGTCCAGGAGGGACGCTCCACCATCTGGCATAGGAATCCCCCTCCCAGCAGGCTGCGTATATGTCTGTGTGTGTGTGTGTGTGTGTGTGTGTGTGTGTGTGTGTGTGTATGTCTTCCAGGCCAATTAGAGTACAGCTGCAGTTGTACAGCACACTGTTAAACAGTGTTGTCGCTGTCTGACAGGCCGACCGAAGGGTGGGGTGGTGGTTTTGGGGGGTGTGGGTGTGGGTTGGGGAGGGGGGGTTATAGTCACTGTCACAGCCAACCTGTCTGCTGAGGCCATGTACCTGATGTCACAGTGTGGTTGGCAGATCAGCTCCCTCTGGACAAAGAATTAAAGGCGTGTAAAGGACTGTGTGACGTATAACGTCACATCGTGATTTCACGATTCATCGGACAGAAACATCAGCTGAGTCGCACCTGTGTTTAGACGGTTTCTGCTTAAGTCTCCACCGAATGCTCTGATGGAACTGCTAATAAAGACATGCAGTTACCACATGTTAAAGCAGACAGAGGCGATGTGGCACACGGGGGAATCCGAGGCGACTGAACTGTTGGTTTCAATGAAAACGGGTGACAACTAGAAGTCGAGTTGTTGTGAAAGCGAAAGAAGGAAAAGGAGCTGTGAGCGTATAGCAACAAGAATGCTGCCTGTGCTGTGAGAATGTGAGCAGGTGGTTTGACTCAGATGACAAGAATCTGACCTATGTCTCTCCTCCCTGCCACACAACCTGAACCTGCCTGTTGACAAATAGACAGGCGATGTCAATGCCAGGGATGGCAGTATCAACGACGTCTATTATGTTAAGACGCTGTTATTTACCTGATTGGCTGTGATCTACCTCATCATCCTCCAAGGCCACAACCCTGAGATGACAAGGACATTATGCATGAGTTATCTCTGCAAGTTACAGAGATGCACTAGTCTAGAGGTCAGGCTGTGCTTGGTGTGCTGGGCTCAGGAGGAGAGGGGCAGACGGATCAGAGGCAGCCAGCTTTTTAAAATGTTAGTCATGCTGCTGTTCCATTTTCATGAGCTGTGTTGCAATTCCCAAGGACCAGCCTGCCAGTTTCACAGAGGGTCAGACAGCACCAAGCTCACCACATTGCATCTGGACTGCAAGGATCTCTAGGATAGAGATGTATTATTGTGTTTCTTTTGAGTTAGAAAATAAGACTTTGAGATTTTCCAAGCTGGTGGTCTCCAGAGGAGCAGAATTCATTTGATGAGACTTGTTGCTTCTTGTTTACTGATGCTTTAAACTGTACGTAGCCATAAAGGGGTTTTCTTTGACCCCAATTTATCACCCTCTGATCTTCTTTATCTTCTTGATCTTCTGATGTTTATGACGTGTTAAAAAGTTTATGAGATGTCTTGTGCATGCTTTACATGCTGGCAACATTGAACACACACGTCATAATGTTGTGATGAGAAGATATTCAGCTTTTCCTGTATGTTCCTTGTCCTACCTCTGGCCAAGCACCAGGTGCCCTGCACTTCATTAAAGCATCATAGGCATGCACAGTATGTGAATTTCCTCTCGGGGGGGGGGGGGGGGGGGGGGCACAGTAAGACGGCTTCAGAGACCTTGTGGTTTCTTTGCTGTGTGTCTGTGTGACTGCTGAGAGCCACTTCACATGGCCGTTTGCAGTGTCATCTGGAAAAGCCCAAATCAACTGTGCTGGAGCTGCTCCCCAGAGCTGTTCACATGAGCCAACGGGAGGCTAATGCTGGAGAACGTGTGCATGTGTGTTATGAGATTAGTTTTTTTGTGTGTGTGTTTAGCAGAAGGTGTAATTTAGCACTAGAAATTGTTCTTATAAAGTGTAACACCCTGCAGTGATATCTTTGCAGCCATTTACTAAAGTTTAGCGCTGTATGGCAGCCAAGAGAGCACTTATCAGGGCTGTTATATTGCTCCTCAGGGACGTTAAGTGAGTACTGTCTATACATCATATCCAACAATAATCACAAGCCACAACAGAACACCATAAAGCCACAATTAAATGCAGCATAAGTCAAAGAGAGATGACTGTTTCGATACCTGTGATTATAGTTATTATTAGATATTGAAACCACATTCATGTTTTCCCTCTCCTTCCATTTACAGGTGTCGTGCTCGACATCCAGCGGCATTACAACGTAACGGACAGTGGAATCGGCTTGTTGCAAACAGGTAAGTCCTTTAATCCCATAATTACACATTTGAAAAAAATGTGAGCTCAACAGCTAAACACATTCCCCTTGTCGTGAGGGTAATGATCGTGTAGCTCGGATATGATGGTGTTATGACACTGAAATGTAAGGTTTGTTTGGTAGAGATATTGATCACAACTTACAGATAGAAATGCTGCACATTATGGAGTTAATTTACATAAGCAACCCACTAATTGTTTATTTATACCTCTAATATTTCCCCTTTATATGTATTAAGGTGCTTTAATGTAGGATTTAAATAAAAACACTTCAAGTTTTCTCATGGGAAAACCAAAAAAATGGGCTCTACTTCCCTGTCTCTAATTTCCCGAAGTGATGTCGCTTCAGTCAGCATCAGTTGAGTCTGAAAACTGCAATTAAGAACAAGAAAAAAATCGGAGGGTGTGGCGATAGAGAGATGACAGCTCTCTTCTTCTGCTGCATCAATTTGGATTCCTTTTTTATATCTGTCCATCGGGACAGAGTTGTAGGGATGTAATGCTAAATCAGCAATTCAATGTTTGCAAGAATTTATTTATTGTCTCCCTGTGACATGCTGCATTGATTGGAAGAGGATCTGAACGTTTCACCAGCTTTTTGATATGAGCTCAGTTTGTATAATTCGCTCTATATATGCAAATCGAAGCTGGTTACATTTACTTAACACCCAAAGTATCACAGACTGACCTAAACGAGGGTTTTTTGGTAGCAGCATATTCCCACAGCCAGCAGCAGCAGCAGCAGCAGCAGCAGCAGCAGCAGTAGAAGCGGTGGTGGTGGTGGCGGCAGGGCAGGTTAATTGAAAGCAAAACAAAGTCAGGAGCCAGGCAGGCTGTCCTGCTCAGAGCCTGGATGCATGTACCCGGAGCGTCTGAGGACGCCGGGCGGGGTTTCCTGCTCTACCCGGGAAACCCAATGAATTCACCTTTTAGGGAGATACCATGCAAAGCCCTCTCTTTGGAGGACAGGACCCAGTCTTGTCTCCATGAGCCCTCACACTCATTCAAACACCTAGCAACCTGCACACAAAGCACCATTGAGGGGCAGGCGGGCAGGTTTGAGTTTGCGGGTGAAAGAATACAGCCCAGTGTTTCCTCCGTCACTTGATGTTCTCAGACCGACTCCGGGTGAGCTGAATGGTGTGTTGAGGACAAAAATATCTAACAGGAAAAATAAATCAGTGTTGTAATTTCTGTTGGCTTTCCTGTGAATAAGCTACTTCACCACTTCCAAATCTCATTTCCACCTCGTTTCACTGGTATGAACACTCTACGTTTCATATCAGTGACTCTTTTTTGTTTTGTTGTTTTACTGACAGCAGTAGTCCAAAAAATGTAAATAATCAGACTCCAAATTTCACATTAAGCACGTTCATGTGCTGCCGGTACAAACTGCTCATGTTTTGTTAATGTGAGTGAGGGTGAGTAAACGGCATTATTAGCACGGTGTCTGTATTTGTATAAAGCACACTCACATTTCCAGGTGATGTCTGGTTAGTATGAAATCTAAACAAGAAACAGGAAACTGTGAAGGGTGTTTGACTCTTAATGCTGTTTGTACTGGCTCATTATTTAGGTTATGCACACAGCCACACTGGCACACACACAGTATATTAGTGGAGCGGCATGTGTAGCTGATTTGCCCTCTGCACCGTCTGCGTTTGCAGGTCTCTCTCTGAGAGGCACCCAGCCGGGCCCGGCTAAAAGCAGGGTGCTTTGTGTGTTTGGTTTGCCTGGCCTGTCTTGGCTTGTCTTGGTTCAGACTCCGCTTGGCCCCTGATCCCCAGGCGACCTCTTTCTCACACCGGGCTGAGGAATGCTGGGAGTCCGAGCCTGGAGGTGTGAGAGCGGGTGGGCGCAGACAGGGAGCCTAGATGTGAAGAAGAGGTTAGGAGGTTGATGTAATCAGGGTGCTGGGAGGGAGAGTGACAGTGTGTGTGTGTGTGTGTGTGTGTGTGTGTATATGTTTACAGTATACACCCCTACCCCCCGCTTCCGTCTCCAGAGGGAACAATCCCTGCCTCTGTGAGCACCTGCAGACCAGGCCGGCTCTGCCTTCTCTCCTGCCTCGCTCCTTCTGGCCTGGCAGCTTTTGTGCACCTGGGAATGCAAACTGCCCACGTAGGTGTTTTATAAGCAGTGGGCGTTGTGTGTGCTGAGGCTTTCTCTCTCTCTCTCTCTCTCTCTCTCTCTCTCTCTCTCTCTCTCTCTCTCTCTCTCTGCTGCCAGGTCACCCTCACACTTTTAAAAAACACTGACCACACACTGCAGGATCCAAGTCTTAGAACAAACACAAGACTGAGTCGTTCCCTTTTTCTGAACTCTGATCTGGCTCCGTTTGAGAAGAGGAGAAAAGTTTCAACCCTTTTCTTTGGCTCTTGATCAGAACTCCAGGAATGAAAAATTTCCCATATCTACATGTTACTGACAAGTTGTTTTCTTTTAGGAAATACTAGCCTGACTGAGCACAGGGAGCCCTTAGGACCTGCTGCAGTGTTTGCATTTTGATTGTTGCACTACAAAAACTGTCTATCTTTTGTGTAGTTTTTGTCTAATTTTTTATAAGTGGCATTAAGTCTTTTTGTTTCCAAATGAAAATCAAGTGCATTTTTATTAAGTCTTGTATTTTCCCTGGGTTGATTTATTAATTGCTTGAAGAAAAAGTAGAAAAATGTCCCTCCGTAGCAGAAAGATAAGAAACATCAGTCTTGACAGACACTCATGAGACTGAATGTCTTGGTGTGATTGATGTTTTTTGCCATGCTGTGGTGTAAACTGGTGTTTACGTGTTAAAGGACAACACACGGAAAATACCCTGTGGTGAGCTCAGCCTCGGCAGCACCAGTTATTTCTGTTATTTGGCAACACCGACTCTTTTAAAAAGCATCTTACACAACACAAATTGACATGAGGTATGTGCTTGTTTCTGTTGTGCATGTGTGTGTGTGTGTGTGTGTGTGTGTGTGTGTGTGTGTGTGTGTGTGTGTGTGCGCGCGTGTGTCATTACTGCCCGGGGAGCTGAGGTCTCAGCTGTCTGTGTAAGAGGATGAGATGTTCATAGCTGTCAGTCAGGTTAGGCTAAAGGCATGCTAAGCCCGGAGCTGTCCGGCTCCGTCCATCAGCAAGTGGAGATGGTCTCACCTGTGCTCAGCAGACCTGTCAGAGCACCAGGACGGCCTGAGCTCAGCTCTCCCGCTGAAAAGGGCCTGTAGGCAGCGGCTATCTGAAGTGAGTGACACTCACACACAGCTGTGAACAAGGACGAGTCCCGAGGGTACTGGGGGGCAGGAAAGGTTAATGGAGGAGAGGAAGAGGAGAGGGGGTTCACCTGGATGGTATTACCTTCGGGTTGAGGGGAGTTTTGAGTCCTTTTGTTAACTAGACAGAGAAATCTGAGAGAAAGCTTTCTCCTCCTGTTAACATGCTGAGGTTATTATGTTCCAGTGCTTTGAGGCTAATCAAAAAAAAAAAATCCTAATGAGTTGAATTATCTCCAATACTGGAAGCTGGCGTAGTAATTATCCTCCTCCTGGTTTAGCATGGAAGCAGAGTTATTGGGGTCAGCCAGGCTGGATGTACAGAGGGGCGGCAGCTTAATAAGGAGCCGGCGCTCAAAACAGCTCGCAGACTGTCTGTGCCCTGTTCTGTGTGTGGCTGCCCACCTTGCCTGAAACACGACACCGGCACATGCACACACACACACACACACACACACACACACACACACACCAATTGCACCAGTCTTAACATGGTGTCAGTCTGCCATTCGGCCAGTATGTGAGCTGTGAAGAATGAGGCCACAGGTGCTGTGTGTTACGGCTTGAGCTCCGCTAACACATCAGACTTATTCTGCACACAAGAAAGCTTTAAGCCGCAACCGCAACAAGTCAGCAATGTATTAGCAGAAGTCAGGTTTTTTTACCACTGAGGCTTTATCCCGTGCTGCACTGTGAGCTGTGGCCGTCTGGAACCTGATATTTACTGGATCTGAGTGTAGCTAAGTGTATCGCTTTATGGTCAGTGTAAATCAAAAATTCCTACTGTTGAATGGAGGCCTCTCTGATTTCCCTTTACACACTCTGTAGTTGAGTTATCAGTACTTGATCAGCTGTTTTGGCCACTCACAGCTGCTCCTATTTTGTCTCTAGCCGTCATTGGTGTCCCTTGGTACGTCCCGTCCCCCCCACGTGTCTCTCTCTCTCTCTCTCTCTCTCTCTCTCTATCAGCAGCAGCTGTTGTAGCCTTGTTGTCACTCCCACTGGCACCTTATAGGAGTTAGTGGAGTCAGGGGCATGAAGGGAAATGGAGGGAGAAGAACGGGCCACCTGTGACTTCCTCCCTCTGGTCATGCGTGGCAGCAAAGGTTTAATCTTCTCCGCTATTGATTCCTCAGGCCAAATAATTGCATTGCGATGGTGTTCAGCAGCCCCTCTTCCTGCTGTGACCAGAATAGAACGATGACCTGATGATGCATCAACATCACAGCGTGTGCGTGCGTGCGTGTGTGTCTCCATCTCAGGCTGTTTTTTATAGGCCATGTCTCGGAGGAGGGCAGCTGTTGGCCGATGATTGGCGCCCTACTCTTTGCTTCCTTCTCTCTCACTTCCTGTCGACAAACCAATAGCTGACTGACTGCCGATCCAATCAGGATTTCATGGCCAATTAAGCAAGCATGCTGTCAAGCCCTTTTTCATGTAAATGCCCAGTGAGATCTCTGGTCACTCCTTAATTTTAAGTACCACAGAAAGTGCACAAAGGAAGGAGTGGTGGGGTGTTGTGATTTAAAAATAGGCCCTTTTAGTCACCGTGGGAGTGACCAAGCGTTTATGACAACAATATTTCTTCCTGCTTCCCCGAAACAGAGGCTGAACATTGATCGATGGCTTGACGCCACGGGAGGCTGCTCAACTCTTTCTGGTCCGAGTGACATCAACAGATCAATAAGGAACATACACACACACACACACACACTCCGCACCCC